TGTGAAACTAAGCTTAGCCCATGTTGTAAGGTACAATTCTCAGAATATAATCTAATTCGTACAGACAGGAATGCAAGTATCAAAGGAGGAGGTACAGCGATAATGATAAAACAAGGTATCCCTTACGAACAGATCTTTAGTCCATCTTGAAAAATGAATTCAATTCTTGAATATACAATAATTTGTGTAAAGTTAAACCGGCAAAAGGTATATATTATTGCAGTATACGCAAATAATAAGGATAACCACTACTTTCTACGAGAACTTGACTATTTGTTTTCTAAACTCTCCATGGAGTCACCAAATATCTCTTATGTTAAGAGAGGCGATATGAACGCAAGACATACTGCGTGGGATGATAGAGTAGTAAAGAAAAAAGGAGCTATGCTTGAAAAATGGTTAGATAATAACGGGCTTCTTTATAGGGCTAAAGTAGTTCCCCCCTGCTCCTCTACATTTCCTAGTGCAAACTCATATTTAGACCTTTGTATAGCGGATGACAGAATAGAAATCACAGATATGGTGGACAATAAAGTTAAAACAATACACTACAATAGTGACCATAAAGCACTGATCCTAACTGCTAAAATGCCGCACCCAGTGAGATTGACAAATGCTGATTTCGAATATCGTTATATGTATGAAAAGACTAAATGGGAAAAATTTACTAAAGTATTAAAAGAAAAATACGTCTACGAGGTACCTGAAAATAAAAACCTATCTACTGAAGAAATCAATGAATATTTTGAAGCAATTTATAACACTATCCGTGAAACTATAAGCAGTGAAGTACCTAAGTATAAAGCGAATGATAACGTACTCAACTATGTTAATCAGAAAATCAGGAAATTACACAAATATAAATCATATATGTATAGTTAGTTGCATCAACAAACAATACAGGTCTAATAAATATTCAAATATAGCAAAGGAGGACCCTTTAAAGATCATAATTGCTCGATTGAATGACATGTTAAAATCGGAATATAGGTGCTTTTACGCAAAATATTGGGAATCACAAATTAAGACTATTGATTATAGGAAATCGCATTCCTTCTTCCCTAAAATAAATAAGTGGTTCAGGCCCAGAGGACAGATACTGTGACGTGGTACTTTGTGCATGTCACAAAAGAAAAAGGAAAAAAGGCAAAATAGAAGCTACACCGTGAGGTCCGCAAGGCAACCTAACTATTGCGTCGAGCGTGGACTGAATTTAGCGTGTAGAATGTGTATTAATTCCCTTCGGGGTCTGTATTTCAAATGTTACTAGTGGTGATCGGTCCCGTAAGGGAACCGATGAGAGAGAAATAAGAAGTAGAAACGGCTCGGACAACGGCAAAGGGGCCCGACCAGTGCGATCAACATCACTGGCGTGACGTAGCCAACTGGAGGAGGACCAGCGTGACCGCAGGGCATCACTGAGTGAGGTCACCTGCGCGAAAGGACGCCGCGAGAAGATCCGAGATTCTGGCAGCATCCGGGGGTTGCAGTGGCGGCCTGGAGCCGCGCAACGAGGGATGAGGTGCGGATGAGATTCCCGCCCCAAGAAAAGACACTGCAATCGCCCAGAAGAGGAGAGGATGCGCGGATCTACTTTTCGAAGATCCGATAGACAATTGAAGATCGCGGGCGAATTGGGCCGCGTAGGGGCTAGCGCAAATTTGATTGGGCCCAAGGGTAATATTCCTCCGCGCCACTAGGGGACGTTAGCGGGCGAGCGATCGGGTAGCGTCACTTGCGGTGTAGCTAACGTAGAGTACGTGCGAGAGTCTGCCAAAAGTGTCTAGCGAGTGTGTAGTGAGAAAGAGTGAGAGAGAGATATTGAGCCAAAGCAAGGATAATGAATCCAGAGGATTTGGATGACTTGGGCAAGGCTCTTTTCGGTGAGTGACGCTACCGAGTCAGATAATTTTTGTAATTGATCGAGATTAACTGGACATTAGAGTTAGCTGCTGGATCTTTCATCCCGACAGCACGTGTCGCTTCCCGCTTACACGATCGTTGAGATCTGATGTTTGTCAGTTTGGTAGCGATCTGGAGGATCCGTTATCTCGTATCAAAGTTTAGTTCTTAGTTTTATGTTTGAGTATTTGTAGAGCATGTTTGAAGAAACTGCATGCAAATTATTAATATCCAGTCCACGCTACGCGTAATCGTTTCGGTCTTGTGTCGTGTATCGTAAGTACCGCGCAGTGGTACGTATCTCTCCCGGTATTATTCGTGGGTGTTAGGAAAGCAGAAAGGGGATTGCGTATTTCCTGACTGATATTTTCAGTAGACAAATAGGTCTCCGGAACTGATTCCAACTGCGGAAATACTCGTAACGGGATAGGATACACGCGCTTGACGACAAGCGAAGGATCTAGATTCCTAGCGGGGAATCTACAAATTCGGTATATTAGGTGACTTCCCAGGAGGTCAAGCACCGTTAGGATTACCGTGCTCAAAATTTGTAAATATTGTGAAGCCGGCGAGTATGGCACTAGGCCACTCGTCAGCTGACTTTGTAAATATTATTGCTTAGCTTCGGTGCGCTTGTATTATCTAACGCGCGCATTGTTGTCGGAAGTGTCCGGCCTTCTAGCAAATAATTCCGAGCAAGGAATTCGCGCTTGCCTAATCCCTCAGGGATTTATTAGTTGTGTCGGTCCAACTATTGTATTTTAGTAGGGACAGTAGTTCCCACTAGAGTTTATTATTTTGGAACTATTGTTCCATACCGTGTTCTGTTATTACGCGTTTTCATTATCTGATGTTTATATGTTATATTTTATATTTTAGCTTCTGTTGTTATATTTCGTTTGATGTTTCCTATGTTCAATAAATCGGGCCCGTTTGTGGGTTCCGTGCTTTTAAACGAAACCTCAGGTCTGTTTGATTTCTCAAAGCCCCGTTAGTGTTGTCTTAGTGCTATTACCTTTCAGATCTTGATTATTGTCTCCCAGACCCGCATAACAGCTGGCTAGGGTGTCCTTAGGAGACAGCGGTGTAACTCTGGTTATACCTGGCGCCCAATAATTCAGTATTTTATTAATTATTTCTCGAGGTGCCATTTATTTGTGCGATTCGTCGTTACAATACATATAGACTCACTTACAGTTGATAATAAAAACACGGATTTAATGCTACGTGCTGGCTGTGATATAAAAGAGATACCTAAAAAAGAGGATAAATATTTAGTACATTCATCGGTAGATATATTGAATATAATAGGAGCATACTATGAAAAAATTAACGCACCCAGGTACACAAATCTAGATACCCCTCTTAAAGAAAAAGTTGACACTGTAGCAAATAGTCTGATCGCGTCGTTTAAAGCAGATAAAGGAAACGGTATAACCGTTACTAATTTCTCAGATAGCAATTTAGCGTCTGACCCTCTCCAGCCTGACAATAGTGTAGAATTTACTAATACTGCAAAAACTGTACGAAATTTTAATTCGCTGCCTAACAAAACCTCTTCAGGTTTGGACAATATTCCCCCAATAAATTCACCTCCGTTACTAGTAAATCCTTTTAAAAAAGGCGGATGTTTGAGAAAATAAAGTAAAAAATCGGCCTATTTTTTCACTATTTTTTTCTTGCTAAAATTTTATATTTTCAATTTTTTAGCCAAATTGTGGTGAATTGGCATACAACACATGTAAATAAATAAAACGCGCTAAAATTTTTAAAATTGGTTCAGTAGTTCCGGAGATTAACTGTCGGCCATTTGAAAAAACAGTTTCGAGAAAAACGCGTTTAAAGTGACTGACAGCTGCGTGAGCAACTGCGTACAGCTGACAGCGCGCACACTTTCAGTTATTCTAGACTGTTATAATTCGAATTTCTTCAAAATATTTTCGGAGGTGATTGTTAAAGGTCTAAGGAGTTAAACAATTCAAAAAAAAAAGGAAAAATCGTTTTTTGGAAAATTCTAATGTAGACTAGCACCTTACAACATATATTTTTTAACACTACAGGTATGAACTTAAATATCAATTCAGGGTGCGGTTGCAAGGTTAGGTTAGGTTAGGTACAAATGTGACTGTACATTCGATTTATTTGTAATATATCGCCAAGTGGTGCAAGATAGCCACTGTGTCACTCATTTTAAGGCTGGTCGCTACCGGCATCATTTCAGGGTACTGAGCTAGCGGGAATCACAGGTCGAGAGGACTGCCAATGAGGAACGAGAAAAATGCTTCATGGATCGAGTTGGTGCCGTGCGGCACCTGACGCCCCAAAAGATTTGTTGCGTTGGGGTCATCAGTGAATATTGTTGTGAGACCAAATACACGGTTCACGGGTTTGACTGCCGGAAAGGGTTTTTCGGGATTCAGGTACTTTGGGATTCGTTACCCGAGTAAAAAGTTGGAACTTAACTCTTGATAACAAGTAAAAGATTTATTTGAAACAAAACAAGTTACGTTAGAATACACTATTAGAAATAAACCGTAAACGTGGTGAGTACGAAATCACGGGGCTGGAGGTTAGTACCGGCCGTCCGCTTTTTATAATCTTAATTATGGAATTTTTTAGAGATACAATAACCAAGGATTGTTTCTATATTTCGCCATGGTGTCGGTGATGTGTCTCCTTTGTTTCCATAATATTGGCGAGTGGAACGTGCCGCGTCGCAGCGTGGCCATTCCGTCGCTTCTGACGTAGGCGCGTTTCCAAATCTATATTATGGTTTACAACAATATGACGTGAGAAAAGTGCACGTTAAACTATTTAAAAACTAAGAATTTCCGAACGAAATCAAGGTTATTTTCATGATCTTTGATGCCTGCCAACCACCGCCATACCCCGTAGGCCTGATAATTTCGGAACACCCTGTATGTATGTCTGACCAGTGCTTTCAGTTTGAAAGTCCTGCACCTTTTAATTGAATGGATTTGTTTTACGACGACATATACGAAGGTGCGAGCGTATTGCTCATGCGAACATGCCCCAAAGTGAACCTGTTTGGCTTAATATAATGCGTTGGACATGAAATAATATCGGCATCCAGTGAATCATTGTTGCATTCACTTTATTTTTCTTGGTGTCATACATGAATAACTATGATAATAAAAAACAAAACGTCGAAAACGCACAACAACATTACTATTCAGTAATCATCATCTTTACAAAACCTTTTTTTTTATTTATAAAGTAAGTGTTATAAAAGTATTATGTACTCTTACATGAACTAATAAAGCCTAATAGTCATATATCATTCAATAATACATGTCTTATTTTAGAAATGCAACAAATGAAAAGTTATAGTATCACAAACCTAAGCTTGATATTGTCAAATCTTGTGTTGTTATCCGGAAATATAAACGTGTACATTAACCATAAAATACTGAAATATAGCTTTTTCAAATGTCTCTTATTTCTGTATAAGAGGAACCTACATTTACAATAAGTATTAAGACAGGTGGGTAATCTTCGTTTACTGCTTCTGCAGAAGTAAACAATACACATGTAAATATGTGAATTACATTTTGGTTTCTAGTGAATAATTATAACAAATTTAGATTACTTTAAAAATGATTATAGCATGTACTCAGTTTCAAATTTGTGGAATTAAGCAATTGATAAATAACTCTGCTGGTTTTCCGACAACATTTCTGGAAATTTGTAAACATGAATGAATTAACTTTAAAATCAATGCTTTAAAACTAATTATCAAGTACACATTTACAATATTGTAAAAGATACATTTTCTAATAAGGGATGAAAACCTATCGATATTACCTTTCAGATATGACTGCAATGCCAGCTTATTCACGAACACTGTAGAGTATCTACACTTCTCTAGAATATGTATACATTCCGACCTTTAGCTATCGCAAGAGCTCGAGAGTGAGAGGAAGAAAAAGGGTCATGTGATCATTTCAGATGACGGCGCTATCCTAGCGCGTGTCATTGTGGGCACAAGCGCTAAACGTGAACCTCTACGTAGCCAAGGTTGCGATAGCCGGGGTTCAAGTATATAAACAATATACAATTTGAAATCAGGAATTGAGGAGATATGTTCCTCTTTGCTTTCTAACGTTTTGTGTTTAAAGGTGAGGTTTTAAGTTTTCCGCTTCTGAAATATACATATCTGAGCGTGAAGAATGGTTTTTAGTCTTCAACTCGTAGTGAGTATACTTGACGTTATTTGACTCAAACCCCTGCAATAGTTTACCCTTCAGTATATAAGAATTATCTTTATTATTATAAAGACCTTTATTTTTGATTGTATAAGGATGCTTAAATGTCTTATCTTCGACAGAATCACTGCTGATGTTCTCTCTTACAAAATATGGCTTATAATTTTTTGTAATGTTTGCTGGTTGCGTCGGTTGAGATACTTTCGCATGATTTTTTGATGACTTGTTATTTGATCGATTATTACTACGTAAATGTCTGGGAATTACAGATTTTTTTATGTACAGAAGTTGGGTATCAGTAACTTCACAATCGATTTGCATCATAGTTATATGATTCGGTGGCGACGAATAAGTATCTGAAATTACAATATAACTACATTACACTTTACTCAACATTCATGAATCAATTGCACATTTATAATATTGTATTCAAGATTTATCTTACCATTAACAGGCACAGCAGGGAGTACCAATGACATACGCGGTCTAACAGTATTATTCTGTGTTGAAGCCGGAAGTAGTAGATGTTCATCGCTGAACCAAACGACATAGAATCTATCCTCGCGCCTTCCAAGTGCATCAAATAAGGAAGTGTGTTCTCTTGAAGTTGGTGAGAATACTTCAACTGCATTGCTGTTAGTCGATGCAACAGTTTGTATTTTCGGTTTATTTTTAGACTTTATATTAGGGAAAAGTTTCTTATTTTTATCAAATTTATTTTTCATAAATGAAGGGGCTCCTGGTGGTAATAAGAACTCTACTAAAGATTTTATTTCAAAATCAGCTTCCACAGAGTCAGTCCAATTATTTCGATCAGGATCACCTCCGATCCAACGTCGAAGTTCATTGTCTAAACGAATGGACTCTGTTTGATTAATATATATTGGACACATAGGATAATGACTCGGTTTAGTTCTGTTAAATTCATTTGATAATCCTTCTTCAACTTCTTTGTTATTTGTATTTGACCAAAGCAACGTTCTACCGTGTCTAATGTTTGACAACGTCACGGGCATATTATTAGTTACAGATTCCATATCTCGTGCACTTTGTGAAAAAACACCTTTTCTGAAACAAAATATCGTAGTTTAGTATGTTGTATATCGTATTTAGTATTAAGAAAAAAGAATACTACTGAGTCAATAGCGCCGGCATCGAAACAAATAAAATGACTACTTCAATATTCCAAAATGTAAATAATTATTGGCTTAGCTACAGAGCACGATCTTGTATACAGGGCACCACGTTGTAGATCGTAACCGTAACGTGGACAATTTGCCCGCAAGCGTTAGTGTCGAATAAGCAAGCGCATGCGCATCCGTAAATTCACTGCAACCTCTTATCTCCGATTCAAAAGGAAAGTTACACACAAAAAACCGAGGCGATGCTATAAATAAAATTTAACAATTTAATTTTAAAGTTAGACAAATAAAAAGAATTGATGATTTAAAAAACTGAAGTTAAATGGCCCAATTCACCTAAAAGTCATGAAAATTGAATGATGCTATAATTGCGTATATACTGAAAACTTTTTAATTGATGAAAATACCTCTGGACAAGTACAACAAGTGAAATATCTGCACAAGTAGAATTTTTTTCGTAGCTGAGTTCAATAGTATAAATATTTTCTCTCTTTTGCACTTGTTGAATTTATGTTGCATCACTATATGAAATTGGTTCTACAGGTCCAATTCTCTTTGTAAAAAGACTTTCTCCAGTTTGAGTGTAGGAATTTCCAATGAAAAATCTTTCACAGGATATATACTAACGTATACAGTCAATTTTTGCTTGTATTGTAACTTTTTTACTGAATTTATTTGTAACTCCTGTGAGATTTTCAAATGCAAATTCCTACCACTGTGACTCAAGCAGGCACGAAGCACTTTTTGGTCATTCTTGCTTCATTCAATTCGAATCACGGTATATATTACACATTACGAACAAAGCTGCAGGTTACGTATTCAAGAAAAAGATAACTGCGCACGCGTAGTGCTACCACGTGATTCGCATTTTTAACACTAACGGCTTTTGCGATAGATCCACCTTAAGGTTACGCGTTTTTCGCCTAAGTGCCCAGACCTGTACACAAGATCGTGCTACAGAGCATTTGGTTGTAAATAAACCAACGCCACCATCTTGTCAACAGCACGCCACTGAACCCACTACTTCTTGAAGTTGCATATAGCCCTCTGGGTATTTTTTTTTTTTCTTTTATGTGTTGTTCCCCGCTTTCTTTGCTTCGCTTAATGGCGTGATGCTATACGTTCGTACGGTTATACCTAATAATAAAAATTTGATATCTTTAAGTAAAAAACTTCTACAATCGTCGTTATTTCCACCATAATCTAACACAAACATATTTAGCTGTTAGAAGAGGAGGGTTAATAAGAGAACTTTTCGCCTCGTCAAGATCTGAAAAAGATGGTCGTATTCCATGATCATTATGAATGTCAAAAATAACCATTGATTAAGGAAAAAAAAATGTATTCATCAGGCCAAAATCAATTTCAAATCTACGTATAAGCTCTTTTCACGACTAATGTGTGAACTAATAAAACATTTTCGCTTATTATATTGCTCTGCTATCACATTACTGTCATTTTAAACGAAAACATATGTCGTCCCCAACGAGAAGATAAATGCAACTCATAATGAAAAAATTACTTTTTATCGCTTTAACATCCGCGTGATAAATCAGTTTTCACATCCGCGGTTAATAACTAAATATCAAAGATCACTAGGTGTGATCTATATTTTATCACATAGCGGCCCTTGGAAGCGGTTATCTTGGTTATGGGTCCCAGGTTTGCGGAAAGCGAGGTGAACCTTTTAAGGAGAAACATGTATAAAAAAAATATACTTACAAGGAAACCCCCCCAACCCGACCCCACTGATTTCAATAATTTTTTGATATGTTGTAGTACTCGACAAAATAAGAGACACGTATTTTTTTTTTGTGCTGACATCCACTTTAAAGGGGTGAAAACGACCCCTGAAATTCACCCCCGAAAATCGTTTTTTCATCATATCTCGACTTCTAATTAATATTTTTTAATAAAACCAAGTGGAAAATATTTGTCATAAGAAGTCGAAGATATGAGGTTTGTTAATGACCCAAGGGGTTGCAACCCTTATTTTATATTTTGAAAAAACTATATTTTTTATGCTCTTTTTCTTACGTTACAGTACTCAATATTTATTAATATTTTTTAATGGAACTATGATTAAAAATTATTTTTATAAGATTTATTTCTTTTTCTTCTCTTTTTATAATTAATTGTAAGTCACAGTATTTTATTCTTCAAAGTGTTGACAATAATGATTATCTTCAAAAAAGTGCTTAAAACATAAAGACTTCATTGCACTTGCAACTCCTTCAACTGCTAATGTTCTTCCAGAATGCATTTCTAATTGGAACCCACTCTGATCTGAATTATATAAATTTTCAATTCCAATTGATGATATAGAAGATTTCACATCAGCAACAAACATATCAGCCATCATTTGGAGGCCTAAAGTATTTTCCAATGTTTTCCTAGTAATAAATTTATTTATTTTTCTAGACACTATTCTGTGAGCCTTTTTGAATTTCACTAACCAATTTTTAGAAGCTTTAAATCTTACATCTTCAGATCCAATTTCTTTTTGAGCTTGTAACGCCCATCTCCGTATATCGTGATCGTGAATAATTAAACCACTTTCAACAGCAGCTTTAAAATTATCAAGTGTGTATTGACAAATCCGTGCAATTTTTTCTCGGTACGTGCCACCTTCATTAATATTGTGAGCTCAACGTTTGAGCTGACTGATTGATGAGACTTTTCTGAATCTTCTTTACGCTGTTTCAATACTTAAGTTTTCTTTTCCCACTTCTCCAATATTCTACAGCTTTTTGTTTGTAATCAAAATTGATGTCTTCAGTACCTTTCGTACACTGATTTGTTAGTGCAACGTCAGGATCAGGAAAATGATGTTGAACTTCATCCTCAACTATTTCAGCATCACAATCCTTATATTCTTCCTCAAAATCCAAAGTATCCTCAAAAATCGTATCAACTTCATTGAAGTCATTTGCTGCATCGATTAATATTTGTTTCAATTTTTCTGACAACTCAATTTCTTTATAATTCGTCACACTATTGGGTATTTGTAAAGTTTGAAAATACGCTAGTAATAAATTCACTACATTTAAGGGATTAATCTTCATCTTTGAATCTAAAATATAAACATTAAATAATAACTCTTTATTACGAAGATTAATAGGTGTAGAAATATAAATTACAAAATACTCACATAACTACCTAAAAATTAGATAATTGGTTGTAAAAATATCCACACCACGTATGATATATTATAATGTTTTGTGTTTAACAATGACAGATATATATACATATATATTGTAACGTGGCGTCCGTGGGACGGCCAGTTACATAAAAGCG